TCTATTATTATTTTTTTTTAAAAAAAATAGGGAAACCAAAACTTTTGGGCCTTCTTTTTTGGGGTTCTTATGTCCTCTTAAGCAACAAAAAAAAACTTCATTAAAAAAATTTCGTACAATTTTTTTTCTATCCTTTAAAGAACAGTTGATAACATCATATATGTTAGGAACAAAATCATCGACCCCTCTCTTTTTGTTTTTCGGATAAGATTTTCAACATGAGTTGTTTCTTTTTTATTTATGAAAGAAATAAAATAAATCTTAAATTCGCAGGGCTCAGACAAAATATTTGATAAAAAAATGAAAAGAAACAATAGTGAGTTTTAATTTGCAATCAATATATGTTCTCCTATGCTTTTTAACAGGTGAGTAACATGTATTCTCTTAATTTATTTTAAGACTCTTATTACTATAACAAATTTGATTATTAGGAACAAATGATTTCGTCACTTATAATTCATATTTCGTCATAAAAAATATTACGGCAGTCATTAGTCACTAAATGTGGATCGCTAAATGTATTTAAAGATGAATTAATGCTTCATCGCTACAAAATTTATATTAACTACGGAAACAAAAAATCGTCCCCAAATGCATAACGGTTGTGACAAATTTGTTTGTCATAAAAATTGTTTTTTTTTGTAGTTGATTATATAGTTTTATCGCTAAAAAAGTTATTAACAGTAACGAAATTACATAATCACTAATCATTTTGTTCAATCACTGATGACACGAATTGTCTCAAGTGTTATGTATTTTGTAGTTGAAGAAATATAATTTCGTCACTAATGAACGTTTTAGATAAAAAAAAATATTTCTACCTTAAATTTACAAATTAGTGACGAATTTATTATTATAAAAAAGTTAACAATTTTGTAGTTAAATCTATCATCTTGTTAACAACAAAAATTACTTTTTCTGACAACATAGAATTGCAACTATAAATTGTTATGATTAATGACAAATATTTTTGTCACTAGATGCAGTCAACTTATGACAAACTAATTTATTTTGTGATGAAAATTTCCCTTGAAAATTTTAATTCAATCGTTGCTAAAGTTAATACTTCGGAGATAATTTTGTCACCAGTTACAAATATTTATTATTTCATGTTGAGATTAATTTTTAAATTAAAATTACACAAATTAATAATACATACCAAATAATGATAAAACATTCATGATCAAACAATTAAGAACGAAATACTAAGGTAGTAATATTTAATTAGATGCCTCTTCAACAAAAACAAAAAATGTCCAATAAGAAGAAAATTTAATAGAAAAATATAGGGATAATGCACAAATATTCCCTCAATCTATGTCTGAAATTTCAGAGACACACTTATATTATACTAAGGTTCTATTATCCCCTGAACTTATTTTATTAATAATTTTCTACCCCTTTTTTTACCTTCGTGGCACTATCTTGTGGGCCCAACACTGGTTGACTTTTTTTTTCAAGCTAGTACCACGTTGGCCGAAAAGGGATAGAAAATTACTTATAAAATAAGTTCAGAAGAGTAATAGAACCTTAATATAGTATAAGTGTGTCGCTGAAATTTCGGACATAGATTGAGGGGATACTTGTGCATTTTCTCAAAAATATATTAAATATGACTTCTATGTATAGGTGCAAAGACTTCTGTACTACTTTCTCTACCTTGTCTCATACCACCACAACCTTCATCACTCAACTTCCAAAGAAATGGTATGATCATTAACATATGAAAATAATCAGGTGTAATGACCTGATTCTGTCATTACGAAAAAGTCAATAAAGAAAGAATTGGGGTCAGAATATTTTAGGATAGTAACTTGAAATTTTTAAACTAGTCCAGATTTGGATGCAATCGGAGGCATTAAAGTGTAGGTAAATATAGTAATGAATGAGAGATCTAATTGTGAATTTTATTACATGAGTGATAGCTAAAACGATAATACATTCTGTCTCCGTCGGGGCTACTGAAGTGGGATTTTGGACGTTAGAGTGGCGTATCTGTAGCGGGATAGGTCTGCTGTAGCGGGTCAGACGCGACTTAAAGTCGCTAATAAATCCATAAATGACCATATTTGATATTTTTTTTACTTTTAGGGCTAAGGATGCGACCCCAGACGAGTTCTTGTCAGTTTTGTTCACCATTCTTGAGCTAAATGTAAGATTTTAACACCCCGAATACATTTTTTCGATCTGTAGAACCTATTATCTTGTTTATAATCTATGGGGAAGAGTTTTGATATGAAAATTATGGTGGAAAAAGCCCTAATTTGGGTATTAGGATTTTGAGTTTGGTGTAGGGTTATTGGGTTTGTTATAATTCGAGTAATTAGACTGTCGATTGTTGATCCTTGCGTATATTAATTGTTGTAGACCTAGAACAAGCGAAAAGAATCTGGAAAGGAAAGATTCAAGTGCCTTAGGAGATTGAAGCTTGGATTTGAGGTAAGTGATGATTGTGATTTCATGTTGGTGAGATATATGTTTGTATTGCTTCGTTATAATGCACATACATATGTATGCGAATGTCGCATTATTGATCACCCTAATCGTAATTGAGGATAACTGAATAATTACATATCATGAATCACCTTTTGTTGTATGGTCTTGATGATGTACTTTTGATTGTGATTGAGGTGTGTGATTGGGGATCGGATTTCCACGTTTCAGCAAGCTAACTTAGATCATGTTGCCACGTTCGGGCACAACTATTGGATCGACTTACCATGTTCTGACACAACTATTGGATCGGGTTGCCACGTTTTGGTACAATTATGGGATCAGTTGTCACTTTTCGGCATAATTATGGGATCAAATTGTCACGTTCCGGCAAGCTAACAGTTTGGTTTGTGTTTCATGAGAGGACCATTGAGTTGGACTCCGTGAGAGGACCAGTGAATTGTGATGATTCTGTTCATATCTAATGATGATTGATATTGGAAACTATTTGTTACTCTAAAATGATTTAATGGTATATTGTTGAGAATGGTGAATCGGTTCGTCGATATGAATGATGATGATATATTGTATATATTTGGTATAGGTATGTTTTATATTGTTATGGTTACTTATATATATTTCAGCTATTTGGGATAGCTGCGTGATACTAACGGTACACTGCGGTTGTGCAGTGATACTGAACTTGCTCTTATTTTTGTTGAGTATAGGACATATTCCGGCGGTTATTGACAGACCTCGTTTAGAAGATCAATGACTAGTTTGAATTCAAGGGTGATCTAGTTTTTCCGAGCTGCCTGAGTTCTCTTTTGCTTAAGCTCACTCTTTTCGGACTCGGGCTATTCGTTAAAGTGATGTTTAGTTTTGGGGTTGTACCCCTTGTTTTTAGACTTGTCGTTAGTAGAGTTTTGGTACAATGACTTTCAGGTTCTAGGGTTTCCACATTTATGTTAATTCATTTGTTTAGTTCCTTAATAAATAATGTAGTTTATTTAAGACTGCTTTTGTATCTTAAAATGCCTAATTTTTCGTTAAGTTGCTTGATTGAGTTATAGTAATAGTTCTCCCAGTGGAGGGTTATTGTGGATGTAAATAACAACGGTTTGAGTCGCGACATAAGGTTCTCTGAATTATTGTCTTCGCCAGTTCCTTACTTCTATCATACAAAACTTCTCGTTGATAATTTTCTGGCATACGAGCTATATCACAAAAGAGAAATCAATGACTATCCATGCAACTATTTTGTACAGGTCTTTCAGCTAGATACATCTATCGATTTGCCACAATTAAGTAGTAAATTTAAGCACAATTAAATATGACTTTCCTAAATGGATTCGATGGTGCCTTCTGCCAATATAGTCAATAACGGTCATAAGTATCTATACAAAATTTAGTCAAGGAAAATTTCTAGAAACCACTTATGATAGTCCAACACTCTCGAAACCCCTAATAAGGTTGGCTAAAGAAGATAGAATTTTTTATCAAAATAAGCTATTCTATAAATTAATGTACCAGAATAGTATGTTTTTAATTTTTCTTTACAAATTAGTATAATCGTGGTTCATAGTAATGTTTTATTCTTTTTTTAATTTAAAAAATTTAATGGGAAAAAAGCAAAAATTCACGGAACAAACAGAAATAAAACGTTATTGACAATAACGTTTTATACTTCGTTAACTCGAATCAGATTTTAGAGCTAAAACGTTTCTCAAAAGTAACGTTTTATATTTTAGTACTGTAGACACGTTTTATCCTATCACGGGCTCTGCTATTAAAGAATCGAATCATGTATTTTACAGATTATAAGAATTGAATTCTGTATTTTACAGATTATAAAACGTAACTGATAATCACGTTTCTTATATAAAAAGTAACTGTCAATCATGTTTTATGTAAATTTAATCACGGGGCATCGGATTAAGAATAAAATCCTGCTACATTGGAATCTTACAGATCATCAAACGTTACCGCTGATCACGTTTCTACATTAAAATCATGACTATCGATTACGACACTATGTTAAAGTCTATTTTTTTATTTTTTTACTGACAACAAATGATTATAAATGAACCTTGTTGAAACAAATGTTATATACACTCCAACAATTTTCATTCAAAATTTTGTTTGTTTAGCTCAATTTTGAAACAATATTTACAAAGATATGAATTAAATAAGTCAAGTCAATATATCAAATTGTGTTATTATTTTTACCATAGCTTTCAAATATTTTTCTTATTTATTACTTAGAAAGATGACTTATTTTTATCATAGCTTTCAACAACACTAGTAGTATTGCTGATGGAAGTGCATCTTCTACTTTCTAATATCAACAATTATACAAGTCAGTTATTCATACTCTCTCTTCCTTCTACTGCTCATTATGTCAATGCACCAAATGATATTCACTTTTCTCTGCAAGCTCCCCATAGAAATGCGCCCAATTATAACAATCAAGTTTCTGCAACTGAAGCCAACTTTTAAATAACTTGCAACCATAAACTTCAATAATCAATTTAAAGAAATATTCAAACACCATAAAATGCAACATATACATGTAACCAAATTTCTTGATTAATAGTCAACTGCATCTACTTGGTATTAGTTAATATGTCAACCTCAAACATGGTAAGCATTACAAAATACATAAAATTACAAATACTAAAATACTTGACACCATACAAAGTATAGTGAAAAAATATTAACCACAAAAATGGAGTTTCTTGCCGGAGTTTCAAAAAACTAGACTTAACTTTTACATAAGAAGAACAAAGATGAGCAAAACTTTTTCAATCAAAAATGAGCTCCAAGTTATCTTCTTTCTCTTCCTTTCCAATCTGCAATATGAATTTCAAACTATTAAAAATTGAAGCTAAACACCATTTTGAAAGTAAAGTAATGCATCTCAAGAGAAAAATTACAAACTTTTTTTTCTTCATGTTGATTAGAGCTCACTTGGAATCACATGATTCATCCTTTGTCTTTTTTCTTTATCAACACAGAAACTTTTGTTTTGTTGTTTTAGCCGTGCTGATTAAGATAATGACTACGTAAAAGTAGGAACAATTTTTCAGTTGTTCAACTAAAAGGGAACACTTATTCAAAGAAAAATGTGAAGATTTTAACATACCAGTCCCACAAAGCTTTGGAATGATTGTACGCCTTTTCTTCACCGATGGTTCACCACGTTGGCTTGCACCTTGATTTGCATCCTCTAACTCATCACCATCCACAAAGTTTGGGGCGTTGTCAAAATGTTGAGGTTTATTACTACCAAATACATTTCCAAGTGATGAAAGACTTGGTTCCTTGATATTTGTGGAGTCTGTGGTGCCATGTACGTCACAATCTCAATATTTGTTGGTTCATAATTCGAGATTGCTTGGGAATCTTGTGTGGTTTGATCATCTTCATCCATTTTAATAGGTGATCGACCTCTCTCAACAGCACGTACCTTCCTACCCGCAACACCACCTTTTCCTCACCGACGAATAGGAGGATGCGAATGGTCAGACATTAGCTCCTCTCTTCTATAATTTTCTTGAACATGAATCTACCTCTTGCACATATGCCAAACAATTAGATCCTTCATCCTGCACCATTGCACGAAACTCGTAAAATTCCTCCATTGATGAATTTTCACCGAGCGATATTGCTTTATTAACCATCAAATGAATATGACGCACTTGTCCAAAATTTCAAAATCAATCCATTCAGTCCATCGATTAAAATTTGACAGAAATAAACATCTAAGATGTTTTTGAACATGACTCGAATAATAATGAAAAATCCATATACGAGTACATCTACCTTAAGGGAAAATATTGGAACAAGAAAAATGATACTCAACAATCTAAATTCTAGGTATAGTTCGGAAGAAATCATTTATGCTCCAACAATTAATAACCAACTACCTAATATCTAACTTTTTTGATAACCAACTACCCAAGGGATGAACGGTCATATGGTTCAAATTCCGCGGATAATGGAACCACCAAGCTACCTTCTTTAAAGCTATATGTGACTTTGCTAACTGGAGAAATCATATCCATAAATCCAGAGACCTTGAGACTATTATGTTTAAAGTCTTGAGGTTTTAGACTAAAACCTAATAATTTTTGACAAATATTTTGTCAATCCACTACAGACTTCTGTGGTTCATACCCAACTATCAGATTACCTTTCACGGGTAAGCCATACAATATTTCCACGTCCTGTAAAGTGATCGTACTCTCACCCGTCCTAAAGTAGAATGTATGAGTCTCAAACCGACATATCTCAACTAGTGCAGTGATTAAGCTACAAACAATAACAGGCCTATGAGACCTATAAACTGTTGCCAATCTGTGTTATAAAATCAGAAATTACTGGTTCTAATAAATTATTCAGAAACACGAAGTAACTGAGAATTTTTATAACCAGTAAATAAGATGAACAGAAATTTATTTGTAAAAAAATAATTTAATCTGTAAAAACGTACCAGAATCTGGAATCCTCTTATTGAAAATTTAGGAAGAAAATCAAGTCCACTGAATTCACAGTGTCCCCTTAAGGAAATTATTCTCCTCTAGTATCCGAGGTTTGATTTGGAATATAAGCTCCCAGGGTAAAATGATTTTAATCAGTAGAGTATAGATACCAAAAACTCTACTGTCAGCGAATCAATCCACAGCAGGAAAGTACACGAAGAAATATGTGATTTTAAGAAGAAGGAAGATCTAGAAAATTTCGTAGTCAATATTCTGAAGACTGAATGGTATTTATAGGCAAGAAGAATATATTCTGAAAGGTTGCAACCCTTTCAGAATTAACACGACCATTAATGAAAGGTTGCAAACTTTCAAATGGTATTGACTGTTCCTGAAAGTTGCAACCTTTCAGAACAGTCATGGCGGGAAATTTTGAATATAACGGAATTTAAAACGGGTCACTCGCGCGGATCCGAGTCGGGTCGTATTTCGGTTATCAACTAATTTATTGAAAATAATTTTTGGCCATTTAATTATCTATCGATCGATCATTTGCCAAAGCCGAAGCCGAAGCGAGCGACGACGACGGCGCGAGGGGGGTCCCTCTTTCCAACCCTTTTAACAATTAATAGGAGTGTTTATTTATTTAAACTCTCCTATTTTCCTTTCCATTACCGATGAGGGACTATTGCCTTTTTCAATAAAGCATTAGAGGACTTTTCAAGTTCCCAACCTTTCAAGTTCTAAACCTTTCAAATTCCTCTCCTTCCCTCTATTTCCCATCAATTCTTGCTACATACCCAACATAAACACCATATAATCCAGATAGTTAATCACATCTAGGACTCGTGGATGAATGGGATGTTCATTTACTAGGTCCCAAAACTTCCCATCACATTTCCTTTTGTTCAAAAATCATATTATCATTCTCTATCTATATATCTCGTGACCTATGAGTGAGATGTCCAGTTAATACAGACTGATCAAGTGGATCGGGATCCAATTGGTATGCATTATTAGCAGCCATAAAATAAATATCTATACAGAAGTAAGAATACAACGTATCTTAGAAGCTTTCCTTAAATACTTCATCGACAACATTTTCAATCATATCAATTAAAATATAAGCTTTACTATAAGAGTCGCAACTCGCAACTATTGAAAAATTGACTATCTTCACTCAAATATAGTTCAAGTACATATAATTTCTTATCATATATGTGAGCTCAATGTCTAAAAAGGCTTAAATGAGTGAGGTATTATTTTTTTCTGAAATGAGAATCATGTCATAGAAATTCTAACAGTGGATCACCTGAATGTTGTATTTTATGTTGGGCAACACTTTCTCTTAACAATACAACATTCAAATCATGAGTAAACTTCAGTCACAAGACTTGTCTTAATACCAAGTTATGATGATCATTACAATTTTGACCACAAATTTTGATGAATTGCTAGAATCTTTTAGCATTTTTGATCGAAAATCCTAAAGATTACTCACCATTTATCTCTGGTACATCTTAAGATAAAAAGATAGGCATAATACGATCATTAACTTGGTGCTAACGAATAACTATGCCCTCCAACTTTGAATGTGCACAAGTAAGTAACAAGTAGACACACGTATCCTACATGATATAATACATCAAGGATGTCACGAGGATACAAAAAACACAAGAAAATATATACTAAGAGCTAAAGTGGCCGAAAATATCTCTATCATTAAAAAAAATTACGCATAAATTTATATTTTGTATCATATGTAATTACAAGTTATGTAACTTAATTCTTAAAAAAGTTTGCTAATAGAGGCATATGTTTGATTCATAATTCACCAAGTTATACAGTAAAAAGACATAACTTAATTCCTGAGAACTTATGTCAATAGATACATAAATTCAGTTGTAAAGCCAATAAACAATGTTGTAAGAGACATAACTTTATTCTTACCAAACCTATACAGTAAAAATTCTCTTAACTTAGATATCACACAAAATTAGGTCATCAAAAAATGATTTGAAGAGCCCTAAAATAAAGTAGGGATCACTTTTAACTTTTCGACGCGAATTCAAATTTATATTTCCCAGACAAATTTGTACTTTGTTGAGCAAAGTGTTACTTTGTACCCCATTGATAATTTAAATTGATACTAATATTATATAAAACAATTTATTGTGTCTATAAAATCCCTTAAAGATTCCTTCTGTTAATTTACAACCCTTTCTGTTTATTCCTATTATTAACTAATAGTTTGAAGAAAATCAGAAGCAAAGTTGTGATGAAGGAGAAAGAGAAGATGTTGCTGCTAAATGAACTTGTTGTAATGCTAACAATGGTGTTAATATTGTTGGTAAATGGAGTAAAGGGTCATCGAATTCTTGTCGATACAGATATGGATATTGATGATTTCTTTGCTCTTTTCTACCTTTTGAAACTTAACACATCACAAATGGACTTAAAGTGCCTTTTTTTTTTTGAAAGCATGTCATGGAATGTAATATAACTTGGAAAGGATGTATTTTCGTATACTGAGAGTTATTTTTTTTATGCAGGCAATAACTATTAGCACAAATGGATGGACTGATGCAGGACATGCTATAAATCAAGTGTATGATATGCTTTACATGATGGGACGTGACGATATTGTTGTTGGCGTGGAAGGTGAAGGTGGAATACTTCTTAATGGTACCATTCTACCTGATGTTGGTGGATATCTCCCTATAATTGATCAGGTGAACATAAATTTTTCATTTGCTCTACTTTTGGTTTTATTCTGCAAGTCAAGAATCATTTGTTGGTTAGTTAAATGTCTTCATAATTTTCGTTTACTTGAAATCTTGAGGGTGCTAACTTTTCAATGATTTGTTAGGGAAATGCTCCAGCTGGTTATTGTAGATACAGACAGGCTATTCCTGTAGATCCTAGAGGACGTTCGGATATAGATTCTAGTTTTAGATTCATAAAGAGCTTCCTCCCACAGGTATCATTTTGCATTAAAACTGAATGGAGGATTACTTTGTCTATGTTCCTTAATCACATTTTTTCTGGTTTTACACAAGAAGAAACAGAATTAGACACTTCTATTAAATCCCATGGAAAAAATTGTCAAGGACCTAGGGATGCATATGGATCACAGTGTTGGAGTTACCATCAGCTCATTGGATTTTCAATCTGGGTATTTCGAAAAACAAAATAAAAGGATTCACCAAGAAATGGGGAGAGATTTCCTCTTTTAATGAGATAGTGAGACAAAAAGACAAAAAACAAGAAGTACAACTTTGTAAGAGTTCATAATGCCAGCACCATGTCTTATAAGCTGAAAAATATCAAAATTTGAAGTTGACAGAAGTTTGAGGTTAGCGCTATATATGTTGCTCCTAGAAAAACAACAACATACCTCGTGTAATCCAACAAGTGGGGTCTAAACTATTCACCTTTTTTTATCATAGGAGAAAGTTGACTTCTTAGACAATAAATTTGTAGACACTATACACCAGCGAAAATTTTTTCTGAAACTTTTTAAAGAATAGCTACAAATGACACTCTAAAGAACCACAGGCAACCCAAAAAGACATTGAAACAATTAACTTCACATGAGCACAAGGAAGCAGTAAACTGTTGCTACCACTAATATTTTGCTAGTTATCATAAAAAAAGGAAAAATGGAACTAAAATGTCATTTTTCAACAAAAAGGAAAATAACAAATTCATCAACTATAAGATAAAATAAATCAATGTATGACAAAATTACCTGAATCACAAAAAGAACTCTTCTTTATCAATTTTTTTTTAACCTTTTTTTTAAGCAAATCTGGAGACGTTTTCAAAGTTTTGAAATCTCACCTCCAATCTTTTGCAGCGTGTATAAACTACAATACTCGATCAACACTCTCAAATCTCTTGTATAGAGCAAAACGATTTCAAATCGAGTAAAGATTAAGCATCAACTATGGAAGAGCAACAAGATGGGTTGGTCTTCCAAATTTGTGCACTCTTCAGATACAACATTCATCAACTTCATTGTGCCTTTGGAGCAAGATTTGATGCGAGTTATCTTCTTAATTTTATCCCGTGTAACTTGAAGGTAGGTTTGGAGAATGAAGCGGGTTTTCTTGGAGGGTTTTCTTCCCCAATTTTAATATAACTAAATTGGGGTTTTTTTGTGCTAATGCAGGAGTAAATGATATATGCTTAAAACGTTCTTTCCAATAACATATTATAGTTAAAACGTAATTTCCAGTTACGTATTATTATTTAACGTTGTTAGCAGTCCGTCCCTTTTCTCATTAAATTTTTTAAAATAAAATAAATTTTTTAAAAACAAATAAAGTATAAAACGTTACTATGAACCACGTTTATATTAGTTTTGTAAAAAAAATAATTAAAAACATACTATTTTGATGAATTGATTTATAGAATGACTTATTTTGGTCAAAAATTCCAGAAGATAAAATAGGAAGTTCATCCTCACGTGAACTCAAGTCATCACCATGACATGCTTCTATTACATTGCAATTTATCTAAAGTAAGTTCAAACTCAATAATAATAATAATACACTTAATGTCTATTAGCATATAATGGAATATTACAAACCTATCAAATAAAATTTCAGTAGGACATTAATAAACACTCAGTAGGCTTCTTCATATGATCAGACAGCAATTCGTAGGCATGATTTTCTAAG